ATTCGTTCTCTAATGCAAATCTAAGTTGAAGCCAGTTCTACAGATTGGTACCTGAGGCAAGGGAAAAGACTTCTTCAGAAGAGAGATATTAACGATCAAACGTTCGATACATTTTTTTGGGACACCCTGTATACAGTGCTGAACATAATTATACAGCCACTCTAGAAATCGTCGTAATTTTTGTTCTTGTCAATGAATCTGCCTGAAACTTTGCTGTATTGTACACATTTCAACCTACCATAATCACTCAAAACGGCTTCCAGTCTTGTTGAGTTTGAACGGAGAAAAACGAAAAAAATCGAAAAAGCCCTCTTTGAAAGCTGGACAAATTTATACAGCCACCTGGTTTTTCTAGTCACTATCGCATTCGTTGACTTTCAAATTTTTTTGTACAATAATACCCCAAAATATAAAACATTTGCAACAAATACGGCCTCTCATCCTACTCAAGTAGAAGCGATCACTGCATTTTTTGCTTTCAAAAGCACCAAAAATCAGTTTGCTTCAACAAACAACTGCTTTAAAGAGTTTTCAAGCTCTTGTTCATTCCAAATGATAATCATGGAATCTACTGAACCTTCTGGATAGATGAGGTGAAGAGCGCTTTCGTAAACTCTGCGTAATCGCTGATTTTGACGAACAGACTCCAACCTCACCATAGGGTTGACGCACTTTTGCACCACGAAACTCGATTTTCAAGCGACAGATAATACTGTAATGTAGCCATTACGACAGCCATACAACAGTGAACTCGTGTGCATGACTGGGAAGAAATTTCGGGACTGAGCACTCTGATTCAGCCGCAGTTGACATTCACTGAATGTTGAGTGGAGCACCCTGTACAATCAAAGCCAACTCAGATCACGAGGTAAAACCGGAGACGCTCAAAACTTCAAAATCTTAGCTAATCTCATTCATCGGATGGAATATGACGTGAAATACAGAGGGAAATAAGGAGATCTAGGGTTGTATCGAATCTTCTGCTCGCAGGGAAATTTCGCGGAAAGTATCTCAGATCTAAATCGCTACCGCATCATTAGGGAAAATCTGAAAGTCGTTGCGAAAGCTGCATCCCCATGTAGGCAATGTAACAAATCAAGTTCAGCACTTTGTGGACATTGCAAACTGAGTTTTGTGATTTAAAAGCGTTTCAACCCTATGGTGAGGTTGGAGTCGTCCGTCAAAATCAGCGATTACGCAGAGTTTACGAAAACGCTCTTCACCTCATCTATCCAGAAGGGTCAGTAGATTCCATGATTATCATTTGGAATGAACAAGAGCTTGAAAACTCTTTAAAGCAGTTGTTTGTTGAAGCAAACTGATTTTTGGTGCTTTTGAAAGCAAAAAATGCAGTGATCGCTTCTACTTGAGTAGGATGAGAGGCCGTATTTGTTGCGAATGTTTTATATTTTGGGGTATTATTGTACAAAAAAATTTGAAAGTCAACGAATGCGATAGTGATTAGAAAAACCAGGTGGCTGTATAAATTTGTCCAGCTTTCAAAGAGGGCTTTTTCGATTTTTTTCGTTTTTCTCCGTTCAGACTCAACAAGACTGGAAGCCGTTTTGAGTGATTATGGTAGGTTGACATGCGCACAATACAGCAAAGTTTCAGACAGATTCATTGACAAGAACAAAAATTACGACGATTTCTAGATTGGCTGTATAATTATGTCCAGCACTGTATAGGGAATCACACAAAACAGTGAAATTTTCAGCTTGTATGGCTGTCCTATCATCTATTTATAATACTCGGATGCGAATCTTCATAAGATAGATAGAAAAAGAGTAATGCGGCTAACTCAAGCGGCGTGACACATTCCCTCTCAGATTCCCACCCCTCTCGCGGGGATGTACGTGCATGCGGGCCTAAGCAACACCATCAAGAATCAGTAAATTATCTAATCCCGGTTTTTGCAATAGTTGTACGGAACTCAAGTTGGCTGTGGATCGCGCGCAACAAACTTCAAACTCATTAAACAAAGACACGTTGTCATAAAAACAATTTTTCCAACTTTTGTGTAATCCCTAAAGGTCCCCACGGTTGATAGCCTTTTCTTTAAGGTCATTCTGCAAAGTTCATGGTCACAATTGTTGCCAAAAGTGAAGCAGGCGATGAAAAAAGGAGAGATTTGAAGTAATGAAGTTTTCGATGAGCTATAGGAAACTCGGGATTCATCCAAACAGAATCTAAATTGGACAACTGTTTTTATCGGAATCCTGAGCACCACTCTATCAAGTATGCACAACTTTCTGAAGCTTTCACTAGAACAAACATGGAATGCTTGCACATTGGTAAGCTTTCGTTTCATGTAGGAACACTTTAAAATGAACAGGCAGATAAGATGAATAGCGCTGGATTTCAGGATTAAAGCCCTCTTTCGAGTGAAACAACTATCTTTGGCAGGAATGTTTGCGCGCGACCCTGGTCCACTGTGGAGTGCGGTAGTAAGATTTGAAAAATTTCAAGTTTCGAAGACCATGTTTTGTTTTAAGACATTACCCGACAATCCCAACGCTCTTCAGTAGAACAAATTAGATCAAATTAGAATTACAAATTAGATAATGTAATCATTCCATTTGAAAAGCTTAACCCCCACAACGGTCGGCCGCCTCATCGTGGCGTGGGGGTGACAATGGGTGTCGAACTGCGTGCACAGCCGAGTGTATACTCTGACAGGGCCTCCCAAGCTGTGAAGGAGTTCGACGTTTCCGGTTTCGGCCGGATGCCTAGCTAAGAGCCGGCCAGGCCAGATCCACCGCCGTCTGGTTTTTCGGTCGCTAGGCTTCTCCCCGCTCCAAGCCCGGGGTCAGCGGATTTTCGGACAACCTAATACTTCCGGCGATAAGTCATGCAGTTCACATTTTCAGTAGGGGTCTAGGACACCATTCGATACAGCAAAAAGCCCTACAGGATGGTCTGCAAAAGTTCGCACCAGCTTTGACCCACCGTGAGTCTGCATCCAAAATCTGAGGTGTACTGAAGGCTCAGAAAGTCGCGAAAAATTTATATCTTTGTTCAGAAAAATCCCACAAATCTCCAACTTGCTCACAAAAATTACACACTACATCAAACACGCACATATGCCATTCCTAGATTTATTCCTCATTGAAAAATTGAGAAAACGAAAATCTTGAAGTTTTTACAAAAACGAGGTCAAGCTGTTTTCACTTATGTATATGTATACTACAATCCCTTAGACGTATAATCTCAAATTTTCGGTCCTACACAAGCCTTACTTTTTGAGAAATATTGTTCAGCATGGAACACCCGAGTGAGGAAAGTTGAAATCAATATTTCTCTAAAACTAGGGCCTATGGAGAGCTGAAAATTTACGGTTTATTTAAGGAATTGCAGTATACAATACAAAAGTGGAAACAGCTTACTTCGTTTTTGTAAACACTTCAAAATTTTCGTTTTCTCAATTTTTCAATGAAGAAAAAATCTTGGAATGGCGTATTAGCATGTTTGATGTAGTGTGCAATTTTTGTGAGCAAGTTGGAGACTCGTAGGACTTTTTTAAGCGAAGATATAAATTTTTGCGACTTCCTGAGCCTTCAGTACTACTCAGATTTTGGATGCAAACTCACGGTGGGTCGAAGCTGGTGCGAACTTTTGCAGATCTTCCTGTAGGACTTGCTTTGCTCTATCGAATAATGCCCTGGACCCTTTTGAAAATGTGAACTGCATGACTTATCGCCGGAAGAAGTTAGAGTGTTTCAAAACTTAACGTAATAATTTTTGTGAGAGGGCTCACCTGGCAATACTTGTACGTGGCACTGATGGTCCCAAAATTTACATTCAGGATGGAGGGGAGCAGGGAAGTTTTTTTTGAGTACAGGTGTGTGGTTGCACTTATTTGACTATTTGGAAAATTTTAGAAGTTTTTTTGTTTACAAATTTGCATCAGTTTTTTACAGTTTTTTTTACACTTGGATGCGCGTCGCAGTGCGAGACAGGTGCCACCCCCACGCCACCTTGATGCGGCCGACCACTGTGGGGAAAGAAAAGGTAGAAGTAAAAAATTGCTTACTTTTTTAAGTGTATTTGTGGTAGGCCAGACACCCCAAACTATGAAATTTTGAATTTCTGTAATTGAAGAGCTAAGTTTATCTGCAAAAATTGTAGGCAAAATGTTCTAACCGCAGACATACAAAAGTGAGCAAAGCTTCGGCGATTGCCTTAATCAGGACAAATTCTAGACCCATAGACTGTCTTGCAGCGAGTATCTATGATGCGTCGACTTCTTAGTCCAGATGTGTTTGAAAGAGTTTTTTAAACATGTAGTGGGTAGGCAATTTCATCCCGAACACTAGCTATGCTTACAAAAGAATTCGTTTTTTGCACCTGAACTGTGACCAAGGAAGTTGAAGAAACGAAATTTCGATTTTGAGTGCATTGTTCTAAATGTTGAAATCTCATATATGAGATAAAAGCTTGATTTTACCATTGTCAGAGAAGATTGTGCAGAATCTATATCGAGAAAAAAATTTCGAAAGGAAAAGGTTGCTTAGAGAGTAGGCCTAGAAAAAAATGAACATTATTTTTGCAACAACCATATTTCCTTCTTTGAGTTCAAAACCACCGCTTCCTTCCAACCAAATTGATTTGAGAGGTAAAAGAAGATCCGCAGGATAAGATATCGCTATCAACTTATGGTCGAGCTCGTCCTTCGACGACTACTAAAATCGAGAGCATTTCGTGACCCTGCGAAGGTGTACTTCAACGACTCATGCAGAACGTAAAATGCTCTATAAATGTTGTGGAATTGCTTGAAAGAAGAGCTTGGGGCAAAATCTGAATGCGACTTTCAAGAGACGGTCAGAACGTAAGCTGCAGAAAACTTGGAGGGTTTCTGAAAATTATTACAAGCTTCAGCTTGCATCACGGCTACCATCTCAAATGTGGTGTTGACAAGTGATAATGAAGACTGTGCGACTTTGCTGCGATTGCGAACGAATGAAAGGAAAAAAAAAATAAGAACTTAAGTTACTGTTTACCTTCATTGTACATAGTCCAAATGGTGCAGCTGACATTTTCAGAAATCTTGCGCTATACGTGCAGTCCTCATGCCACAGATGCTGACCACCTGGAGTTTCTGCAGCATTCAGTTGACGCATCAAAGCTAAGGAGAGCAACGGTTAGAGCAAGCGGTGAACACTATAGGCGCCAAAAATGCGTACTCAAATTCCAAGCGGCGTCTTCTATCTTAAGGCCATTGTAGTCAACCTTTATCGAGAAGAGCTCTGTGGGCAGCGAACTTAGGTATCCGCAGGCAAGGAAGAGCGTGGCTATCAATAGGCAAATAGAAGTACGTGACCATCGCAAATAATTTGTTTCGTAGAAGCGGTACGTCAACAAAGCGAAGAGGATGGAAGTGATAACACTCACGGTTGAGCCTAAGCCATGAAAATCTGATGTTAAAGCTAGTGCAGAATCGAAATTCGGTATCTTTATTTATGTAAATGCGAAAGGTAGACAGCCTCTAAAATATGTCTTGTAGACATGAGCGTTTTCATATGAATATTGGTGCATAGTTAGGGTCGCTATCATAAAAACCCTTTTCAAGAAAGACTAGAGCTCTGCCTGTCAACTGCTGAAACCGCTAAATACTGGGTATACTTTGAAATATTGACTTACATAGTGGATCCTCAGGATACCAGTAATTCATTACAACGAGAACAGGCCAGTGTATGAGATAAAGAGCATATGATATCTCCCCGACGTACATTACCTCCTGTCTAATAAGTATAGCTGTCTGAAAAAACATCCTTGCAAAAGTTTTACGAGCACCTCGGATCCGACCTGGTGACGTTTGCCTAGCCTAATTAATATGGCTGTCATGATCGTTGTCTCTATACGAAGGAAACGCTTTGGTAGCGGTATCCACACAAATGGTACCATTACGGCGAGGACAAATATCAACCAAGAAATGACGTCAGTACAGCCCAATTTTCCTAAACGCTTTCTCATAGGTTGACATCAGCATCAAAGGTTCTTCACCTTTCTCTTGCAAGCTATCCTCACTCTCTGTCAACTGATATGTCTGTGTTGTGCAGGTCTTCTACAACATTCTGTTTATTAGCGCCAGCCACTCTTGCAAATGATATTAGGTTGATCCTGCGATCAATATGACCCATATAACTGTTTCATTGATACAATTATCCTGCATTTGCAAAGATATTAGAGATATTATGGTGTGTGGTAGGGAACTTGAGGTTTCATCCACTACATATGAGACCCAACATTTCCATTTAGGTCTGTGAGTAAGATTCACGCACGTCAAATAGTGCGAATTCGTGACTGATTCGATGGGCGCGTGGTCGCAAGGGCTCAAGCACGCTTTTTTTCGGCCAGAGCCTGCTGATCAGACAAGCTCGGGTAACTGAGCAAAGCTGGCAACTTGGTCAAGGAACCCCTGAAGCACAAACTTTGTAACACGCGTAAGCGTATTAACTTCACTTCTGCACGATCCTGGAATGTCCACGAAAACATTAAGCATTTGTCCTTCAGCGAGATCCCTTTAGGTACCACTCACGCATTTAATCGGCCGCCTTCCTCTCCTTTTTGTTCTTCAAGTAGACACACTAACAGTAGTGGCTCGGCAAAGCTGATCGTTTTGGGATTTGGAAGTCTTGGCTTACTCACCCCCCCCCCCTCCCCCGATCCCTCCAAACATGAAAACAGATCAAGTCCGGTCGCCCGACATCCTCACCCTGCCGAGAAGACTGCTCACAAACCAAGCCATTTTTAAACGTGTTCGGATGGCTCGCGATTCCCCTCGCTACGTCATGGGCTGTATGCGCAATGCTATAATCGTAAGGGTTCTGCAACGAGTCTGCGCCTTCAGTCTTGGCAGGAAAACCACTCCTCCAAGTTTACAATGGAAGGCTTAAATATTTATCACCATTCTCGCGTTCTACAAAGTGGATTTTTCTTTCATTCAGCGCATAGCGGATAACCCCAGGTAAGCAAAAAAATCCACGTCAACAGTTGCCGAGCCACTAAGAGGATTAGAGCAGAAGGTGAGAGTGCAAGAAATGACATAATATTTTGAGAATCTCGCAGGGGGCAAACGATAAATGATTTATAATTTCTGGGAGCAAAATGTTTTTTTGCAAATGTGAGGTTTACCAGCTTATGCAGCTGCTGCTCTCGTCTGCCTAGTATTATTTGACATGCATTAAGTTCATTAGAATTTGAAACAAGCATGTGCAGGAATGTCCCGTTGTGTAATAAAAATGTACCCTTTAAAGTTACTTTCAGAAAGAGATGTTCGCGTACTATTGCTCTAGGAGATGGCTTTTTGATCTACAAAAAGAAGACACGTGTTTTCGAGATCTTCGACAAACATGTTTGAAGCTGTTACTTGTAAATACTATTGCTCTAGGAGATGGCATTTTGATCTACAAAAACAAGACACGTGTTTTCGAGATCTTCGACAAACATGTTTGAAGCTGTTACTTGTAAAGCCGTGTAAAAAAGTATGACATTTTGAAAAGACACGATGTATGATGCAGCTGACCTAAGCTTTCCAGTTGTAGTGAACGTCTAATGCATAGTGTCACTAATTATCGAAAAGGAGGTTGTTAAATTTATGAGTATGAGCCTTGCTCTCGACTTGCAATATGAGCGAGGCAGTGGCGTACCGAGGGGGGGGGCGCCCCCCCCCCCCCCCTTGAGAATGGGTTGCGAAATTTTTGAAAGTTACTCAGACAGCGGATAGGACCCCTCCGCCGGAGAAATGGCAGGGTCGCGGCGTTTCCCCAGCGGTGGGTCTGCCACTCGTCCGCCGGAGCCTTCCCATTTCTGCTCCGGATACCTCCCATTTTCTGCTCCGGAGACCTCCCATTTCTGCTCCGGAGACCTCCCATTTTCTGCTCCGGATACCTCCCATTTTCTGCTCCGGATACCTCCCATTTTCTGCTCCGGATACCTCCCATTTTCTGCTCCGGATACCTCCCATTTTCTGCTCCGGATACCTCCCATTTTCTGCTCCGGATACCTCCCATTTTCTGCGGCGCGGCTCTTCCAAATCTGGCGGACTCGCGCCGGGCAAATTTCTCCGGCGCGGCTCTGCCAAATCTCCAAATCCGCCCATTTGCCCCGCTCTCATTGGTCAACTGGGTCCGGCGCGACTCCGGCAGATTCGGACTGTCCGGCGGAGGGGTCCGGTCGATTGTCTGAGTACTTATATGGGTTATAAAAATGTGCAAATGACTTGTTTATACTTGTAAATGATTTAATCAGTTTTTAAAAATTCTTAAAAACTCAAATTAGCCCTGTAAAAAACTTTTTTCGGGGCGTGGCTGACGCCACGCCCCCTTTTTCCAGATTTTATGGGTTGGGGACCCGCAAAAATTTTGAGAAGCACCCCTAAAATTTTTTCGGAGTGCGTGGCTAACGCCACGCACCTTCATTCGAAAAAAATTTTTGTCGCCCCCCCCCCGCGCGGAAATCCTGGGTACGCCACTGGAGCGAGGTGATTGGAAAACTAGCAACAAAAACCTTCTTAATTTCTTGAAGTTGTTTTGGAAGCTTCATCACTCTTCTGCACGCTTCTTTGATGTCTGGTTTTCAATTGTCTGTCAACTGCGCGAGAAAAACAGAGAAATCAGTGTAAGATTCTTTGCGATATCTAGTCGTTCATTAATATACAAAGCAAGAACTATGATGTTTCGCAATGTGATTGCGCTCAATCATTTCTGTCTATCATCTATTAACTTGTTTGCATTTGCCAGAGCAAACTTAACATGAGGACTTTTCTTAGGTGCTTGCAGTCCCAAGCAGGGTCAAGCGTGTTGATGCGATCCGGGACCCTCATTTACGACCCCCCCCCCCTTGAAGGTACCCATCCGTACGACCCTCCCCCCCCCCGCCCTTCTCCCACTCTCCCCCAACTATCCCCCTTACCTCCCCTGTCCACATTCCTCGCGGTAACCTGCATAAACGAATGTCAATCTCAAAAAACACCTGCGTGAGAACTTCAGTGAGGTTTCGGAAGCAGAATCTCTAGGTCAATGGGTGCGCCCAGCATCTGTAGAAAACTACACACCTTCAATAATGTTTGAGATTCTACAATTTTTTTTTTGAATTTTCAGGCATACTTCAGACCAGCAAATTCGATTCCCGTATGCGATACAAATTTTTGCACGGAGAAAAAAATGACATTCTTGAACTACAAAAGATGTTTTCGACTAAGAAGCTTACTTCCTACCTCTTCCACAATTTTTCCCGCCAAAAAAGCCGCTTTAGTGCCGTCCAGAAGATGTCAAAAGCGTGCATGAGCACGGTAGTTTGAAAATCCGTAACTAAAGGCAGGAAAAGACTGAGAGGCTGCAAAGCACAGGTTCTGTAGCATGGTGCCCATACTATCCGTAGAAGAGTTTCATCCCTTGAGGACCAGTAAGTTCAAAAAAATTTAGATGCGACTCTCGCAAGTTTAGATGCGATCCTAGAAAGCAAAAACTGGGATTTTTGAGCTTAAAATTTTGTTATTTACCAGAGAAGTTATAGAACAGCGTGCAATTTTTACGAGGGAAAGTAGGAGGATGGTCTCATATTACAGCAAAATTGCGGCCAACAAGCTTCGATAGCTCCGAAGAAATTTGGATGCGACCCAGATACGACCCCCCCCCCTTCCTGATTTTTTGCTACCATACATAAAATCATAAGAAAATCCACAGTTTACAAAATAATACCAGATTTCGCACAGTAATAGCAGGGCTCATCAATAGTACATATAAATTGTAAGGGCCGTATAAATGGCATTACAAAAAGATTTAAGAATTATTGATTGTCATCGTTGATCTAGATGTGCGCTTTTGTCGAGTGTGAGACTTCAGTGAGGCTTCGGAAGCAAGATTCCTAAGCCAATTAATACATTTCGATTTTTTATTGAATCTTACATCCTTCAAAAGTGTTTTGTGCTCTTGGGAATGTTTTTTTGAGAATTTGTAGAAAAAATTTTGTCCCTAGTATTCTCATTTCTAATTTTTTTCCAAATTTTTTCCAAAAAACATGTACTGGTGCTTTTTGATTTCCTTTTAAGCTTACGGTTTTCAGCCAAACTACTTTCTCTTACGACCAACCTCCTCACCTTAGTTGCCCACTTTGCGACAGTCGCATCACACGCTTGACCCTGGTCACAAGTCACCTCTTGAAGCACACTATTACACGAATCGGTAAAATATCAGTCCTGTTCTGGTTTGTTAAATCTTAAGCACACCAAATTCTTTTATCATGTTAATCACAGAAAAAAAGTTTAGAACGCATTGGTATTAGGCTGGAAACTAAGTTTTGCAACCACTTTCATATCTCAACTCTCTTTGGATGAAGCGCACTCAAACTTGGGCAGTATATAGATCGTAGTGTAAGATACACATAACCAAAGCTGCTTGAATTTTGAAAACGAATTAGGAAAGTTTCAGGCATTGCTCGAAAACTAGTAAATTTGGGAATTTTGGTGGTTTAAGACAAAATGGAGTTGTTAACAGTCTAGACCATGCGCAACTTTCCGAAATTGTGTACTAATTGTTACCAAAGGTTGACTAATTCGGCTCACCAGAGAAGAAATAAAATTTAGGGGCAAGTCGAGATTTGACGCCCTCATAATTTTGAAAGACTTGCTGTACGCAAGACTGCTGAGAACAACCGTTAATGACTAAGAAGTCAGAACTACAAAATCCCCTGAGCCTTTACATATCGAGGTTCTTTGACCTTTTATGCGCGAATATCATAATCATTTTTGAATCAACATCTTTTTTCTTGTTTAGGATGGGACGCTATATCGTACAGTAACTTACAAAAAAGCACTTATCATGCAACTTCGGTATCGTTTTCGTGATCAGCATGTCGGATAACTTCCCTATGCAAGGTTTAAGCTAAATCTGTCAAATTTTATAGCTTTTCCATTTATACGATATACCTACCGTAACCCCACTGCGACGTCATAATAATTTGGTAGAACAGCAACTGGTTGTAGCTTACGTTGTAACCAACACAGTGGCAAAATTTGAGTGCGTCATATTGAGTGAAAGTTATTGAATGAGCTGCAAAACTTAGTTTCCAACCTAATATTAAATGTTACAGAATTTTGCAAACAAACTTCACAAAAATTGAAGTCTAGGAGCGCTTTTATTGTTTTGAAGCTTACGTTTAGATGTTTACAAATTGACACTAGCCCAGAATTGTCTAAAAAATTTCACTGATCTGCATCTTATGAAGAGACTTACATCATCGCTGTGCACAAAAGCAATTATGCCAGCACAGAACTGCCACATCCTTGCGAGAACATTATAGAAAGCGGTGTTATCGTCAACTATGAAATAGAAATGCATAGAAGCATATGCGATTCCTTAAAAGAAACTACGAACAAACTCTTATAAAGATACATCAACACAAAAGTTAAGCGCCACCAACCCAAGAAGAATATCGTCTTTGGTAGTAGCAAGCTCTGCAGAAAGAAAAGAGGGGGAGCCAGCAAGTACCACTGCATCTCGACGCATAAAGACCAAGTGTGCGTAAGAAGATCATTAGCATTTTTCAACTGTAACTCATAAACATTCTAGGTTTTTGAGTAAAGGGCTTCGACATTTTGAATTTACCATTCTCTCGTACTCCTTTACTGGATCAGTTTCGAACTTGATGTTTGCGATGAGTAATAATGCCCTGCGAGAACTTGTGAAATTTATGGAGCGAAACGCAGGTAGCTTCACTACGACAAGTATAAGCACCGCGAACAACACCATGTAATACAGCGGCAGTATCCGTTTAATTCTAAATACTTGGAAATTGCACTGTTAATAATGGGTTAACGCTTCATCTTAACCTTTTATAATAAAAAGTCAAAAGAGACGAAGCACTCATAGGCGATGCTCTGGTGATTATCATTGCCATCAGAAAGCCGGACACGACGAAAAACCTGTGAGCAACTTTGCTTGATGAACTCTTCTAGATCAACTTCGTGATTAAGCTCTCTTATAGAGATTGGTATAGCTATATATCGCTCATTTTTACACAAAAACTCACATGTCTACTCCTACGTAGCCATTTGGACAATATGTGGGAAAAAAATGGAACGCAACCACCATAAATATCGCCCACGCTCGTATTCCTTGTATATCCTGCCGCTTTCGATCCGTAGAACTACAACATGCTCTTCTATAGATGAAAAATTACGAACTACAGTGCTGGACATAATTATACAGCCACTCTAGAAATCGTCGTAATTTTTGTTCTTGTCAATGAATCTGTCTGTAACTTTGCTGTATTGTGCACATTTCAACCTACCATAATCACTCAAAACGGCTTCCAGTCTTGTTGAGTCTGAACGGAGAAAAACGAAAAAAATCGAAAAAGCCCTCTTTGAAAGCTGGACAAATTTATACAGCCACCTGGTTTTTCTAATCACTATCGCATTCGTTGACTTTCAAATTTTTTTGTACAATAATACCCCAAAATATAAAACATTTGCAACACCTACGGCCTCTCATCCTACTCAAGTAGAAGCGATCACTGCATTTTTTGCTTTCAAAAGCACCAAAAATCAGTTTGCTTCAACAAACAGCTGCTTTAAAGAGTTTTCAAGCTCTTGTTCATTCCAAATGATAATCATGGAATCTACTGAACCTTCTGGATAGATGAGGTGAAGAGCGCTTTCGTAAACTCTGCGTAATCGCTGATTTTGACGAACAGACTCTAACCTCACCATAGGGTTGACGCACTTTTGCACCACGAAACTCGATTTTCAAGCGACAGATAATACTGTAATGTAGCCATTACGACAGCCATACAAGAAATTTCGGGACTGAGCACTCTGATTCAGCCGCAGTCGACATTCACTGAATGTTGAGTGGAGCACCCTGTACAATCAAAGCCAACTCAGATTACGAGATAAAACCGGGGACGCTCAAAACTTCAAAATCTTAGCTAATCTCATTCATCGGATGGAATATGACGTGAAATACAGAGGGAAATAAGGAGATCTAGGGTTGTATCGAATCTTCTGCTCGCAGGGAAATTTCGCGGAAAGTATCTCAAATCTAATTCGCTACCGCATCATTAGGGAAAATCTGAAAGTCGTTGCGAAAGCTGCATCCCCATGTAGGCAATGTAACAAATCAAGTTCAGCACTTTGTGGACATTGCAAACTGAGTTTTGTGATTTAAAAGCGTTTCAACCCTATGGTGAGGTTGGAGTCGTCCGTCAAAATCAGCGATTACGCAGAGTTTACAAAAGCGCTCTTCACCTCATCTATCCAGAACGGTCAGTAGATTCCATGGTTATCATTTGAAATGAACAGGAGCTTGAAAACTCTTTAAACCAGTTGTTTATTGAAGCAAACTTATTTTTGGTGCTTTTGAAAGCAAAAAATGCAGTGATCGCTTCTACTTGAGTAGGATGAGAGGCCGTAGGTGCTGCAAATGTTTTATATTTTGGGGTAATATTTTACAAACAAATTTGAAAGTCAACGAATGCGATAGTGATTAGAAAAACCAGGTGGCTGTATAATTTTGTCCAGCTTTCAAAGAGGTTTTTCAATTTTTTTCGTTTTTCTCCGTTCAAACTCAACAAGACTGGAAGCCGTTTTGAGGGGTTATGGTAGGTTGACATGCGCACAATACAGCAAAGTTTCAGACAGATTCATTGACAAGAACAAAAATTACGACGATTTCTAGAGTGGCTGCATAATTATGTACAGCACTGTATGATATCAGCGGTTTTTTTTGATAATTTTTAATTGTCAAACTCACTACCAGACCGTGCAAGCCCTACCGTTAAAATCACTTTGTCCGAAATTGCATTAAATTAAAAAGCCTGCGATTTCGGAAGTGGAAACTCTTGATGTGTATCTTACAAGTTTGATTGATTACGAAGTCTACGACGCAATCGACAAGAGTAGATTTTGTGTGGAGGAGCACATCTTCTCATTTTGCACACACTGATAGGCAATTAGCTTGTCTAAGGCGCAAAAGTGCTAGCATGTCTTCAAATTTGCCGAATACTAACGGAATCAGCTTGACTACGTTCGAAATTAGATTCGCTCAAAGTTCTGCGTAAGACTTCGAAATGCATAGCAGTCCTGTTTGTTTATTTACTTTAAGGTGCTTTCATAGATGCATTCCGTTTTGTAAGTAGCCCGTTTTCAGGTATTCACTATTGAGATGAATACAGACCATTGTTAATGGCTAAAACTGAACTATTACCTTAGCTCGGCTACTAAAGCCTTATCAGTTCCCACCTTGACTTCATCGTCAAATGCTGCAAGTACAGACCACAGCCTCCAACTGAGCATTGCACAACACTGCAAACCTCTTTTAGGAAGCAAAAGCTCTCGTGACATAGTGCTAGCAGAACGGGAGCTCAAATGAGAGAATGAATACATCAAAAAAGGAGGAGGTTTCCTATGAAAGCGAGAGTCCACTCTGATGGTAGTAGAGTGACCTACGGAAGCAAAGTAGGACAAAAGCAAATGTGAAGCGCTTGTTCTCTCTTGTGCAAATCTCGGCTGCTTTTGAGATTGTATCAGTACCATATAACTAACGTGAAGGGTGGAGATCACTATCAGTGGTCCAGTTTCGACATAATCGGTTTTTTGTGAAACGAGGTAGTGCGGGTCAGCGATCATTTGCCTACCATGTTTCTTGGCTACTTCTCAATCCTCTTCAGTGTTCTGTTGAACAAATTGTGAATCTAGTCTAGACAGGGCCGGGTCTAGGCGCAGGTGATACGGACCCTTCTGAAACACATACTCAGACAATCGCCGGGGGCAGGCGGGCACCGGAAAAATAGATTGCTGATTTCTCGCACCCCGCTCGCGGATTTTTTGGAAAGCAATCAGGACTTTTCGGAAGACCGCTTGCTGAGTTTTCGATTCCTCAGAGATTCAGCAATATATCTGCAAAAGATAAGAGCGGAAAAAAATTCAAAAGGCGGTCTCTTAAAAATTCGCTGACTCAGCAAGCGGTCTTTTGAAAAGTCCTAATTGCTTTGCAAAAAATCCGCGAGCGGGGTGCGAGAAATCAGCAATCTATTTTTCCGGTGCCCGCCTGCCTCCAGCGATTGCCTGAGCATGCATCTGAGAGCCTCGCATGCTTAATTTCTAGACATCTGGCAAATCGCAATGTCGCGAGGATGTGGCGATTTCGCGAAATCGCGAGAGGTATGCCTTAGGCCTAGGGCATAGTGTCCACGATAACGTCGCGCTGCGATTCCTGAATTACGACAACTGTTACGCACTCATTGCATGTCTGGGTGTCTGCTACGTTGCTTGTGATACTCGTCCAGCGCGACCGATCGCCGACCCTTTTTAGCTAAGGCATAGTTCTGCAGTGATAATCGCCGCGATTTCGACAAAACTCAGCGATGTCGCGTCGCGCGTGCTGCACGGGCGACTAAGCGATATCGCTGAGGTGCGCGGGACATCTTGAGGATTTTTTATAGACAGGCGCTGTTTCAGATGTTTTTGTTTGAAAAAGAAATGGAACTTGAACTAGATGTACAAAGATATTTCTAACTTCGATGCCTTTTCCTAACCTTAAATTGTCGGACTTGTTTTTCGAAAGTTTAAGCATTTTTGACGAGACGGTTTTTTGGATTGTTTTCTGGGTGATTGTGTTGAAGCTTTGCTTCTCGCAGAGTTAATACATTATCACTCTGCTTGTTTGCATATTCTTACGTTTCGCTATCCGTATAAGAACAGTCTCGTCCTTACTGCACCAACATCAAACATTTATGCATGTGTTTTCGCTATCTTCGCAGTGATGCTGTGCTCGACTTTTTGAAAAGGTGTTTGATGTGGGTCTTTGCTAGCACTACAAAATCCACATACTAGCTTGTTCAATCTAAAAATTTTGGTGAAGAGTGTCTTAATAGTAGCTGTTGGCACGCATAGGCAGACATTCCCAGGTTAGATTCACTATGCTAAGAACTGGTAAGCTCGTAAAAATTGGATTTATTGAATGGTGGCAAAATGTGGGAATTCTTTGTACTCGATTTCATCACGATTGGCATAGGGGATCTATGTTGAGAGCGAAGTGAGTGGAATAACGCACATCGCACGAAAATACTCTGCTCAGTTTGCATGCACCTGCCCTGTGTTTGCAAAGATGCGAAATCGCGCACACTATGCCCATGCACGCGCGACTGACGATTTTGTCGTCGCGATGTCGTCGCCCAAACCGCCGATTTCCCCGGCGATGAAATCGCGGCGACGAAATCATGGACACTATGCCCGTTGCCTTAGGCCTAACGCTTACCGAATCGAGTTCCCCTTATGAAAAATGTAGGTATCGGACTACTCTGGGTTCGATCACCCTTGGACATCAAAACCGCTGGTTCGTAAGCATGCCTCTGACACGCCACCGCTAAAACTTGTTAGGGAATGTATGAAAATGGCCTAGAAAGCAAAATCACAAGAAGTGACTTTCGTCAAACAATGTATAAAATCAATGTTTTCTTTTCCATGCTTCCCTCCTGCTTTCTGTTCCGCTAAACGTCGTTGACGATTCCATTATGAACCACAGACTAGTACTGTAGCAAGCTTTTGCGCAATAAAGCCTTCCCTCATTGTTGCTCAAGGGGCTGGATAGCATGACGTAGAGATATGCAAAAGCAATTTCCAAGCTAAGCACCACTTCTTCATGGATAAGATTAGTATGACTGCGTACTGCTCTTTACCTACTGATCGAACTGCAAACTTAATCGCTTTTTGAAATCTGTAACTCTGGCTCTGCTACTGAGGGAAATGCAACCCAACCATGCAATATATGATGGCTCACTATATGTTTGGCACTGATATACCAAGGATGGCTCCTAGTGACAGTTTCCTTGCTAGGCCACTTGTAGCGGCTCTGCTGAAAGCAGAGGCTTCAAAGTATTTGTCATTACCTGTACTCGCAGCCACAAGCAACAACTAGTGCAAACTTGGCGCCCGATCCAACAGATGCTGCACAGAGAAAAACATGATGTGCTATAACTGAAACGAGCAAACATTTGCAAAGAATATCACTCTATTATAAAAAAAATAGCAACGGAAAAGTAAACTTTTTTTGCACCGCCCGTTTTCTTTGCGTGAGCCTGGACACCGTACCCCATTCCCTTTTGAGTTTGATGAAAAAAAGGCGATTGACGTGCATAAACTGCAGATGCATAGTAGTTTCCATGGTCTAGTGGCTAAGGGGTGCGACTCTCAACTGCCAGACTCAGGTTCGATTCCCCACTCAGGAATTCCTTTTTGCCACTAACGTTGGCTCCAAAAAACAGCTGATTTCTCCACAGATCCTTATATATAAAAAGAATCTGTGTCTCAAAATTCAAAGGTACCTCCACTTTAAGGCCATATTTCGCCCCCAAATTGAATGAAAATCAAAAATCTAAGGGCATTTTGCTCAAGAGCTTGTTGTCTCCTTTTTATTGGTACCATTCTCTTCGACCCATCTTCGATGGTTCGTGAGTTATGAGCGCTCAGAGTTAACGTATCGGTTAAAAACGCTGCTGCTTCTTGAATGATATTTTTTCTGGTTCTAATAACACACTTATGAAATTTCTGCAGCTTTGAGTATTAAAACGCTAGAAGCCTATATAGATGCTTCCAGTCATTGGGTATTATAAGTCGTTGTGGAAGTAATTAAAGTACAGTCTAGAATTTTCCCTGAGGGCCGCTGCAGAGCGACGACTGTTCGAACAAGTATTATGGATAAAATGCCAGGAGCACGTATCGTGGACGAATTGCATTACTCTAACTTTACAAGTAAAAAAGGTTTCGTTTCCTTCTTTTGCTTAGGCTAAATGCGCCATAGATGTGGCGTGCTCCACGACAAATATAAACTATGTTCATTTCAAGTGCGCCAACTCAATCGCAATTTCATCGAACAGCGTGGGCGATAAAGAAAAGAAAATACTGTAGGAAATCATATTATATTAAAAATGAGTAGTTTGACACTAAGGTTAAATTCTAACATTCACTTCTTCCTTCACTGAACTTCAGCGATCACACACCTATTCGTAAACCGCCATTAACTGAATGAGAAAAACCAAGGAGAATGGGTCAGATCAAACGCGCCTCAAGTAGATAACCTTTACGCCTTCGCTTAGGTTAAAAACGCCACAGAAGCGCGCCATGAAGATCCCCGACTTGAGCATCTACGAGATGAGCACGAACTGCGCTAAAAGCGATCGCCGCGCGCATTATCCATTTGTTACTTATCGGCTGCAGCATAGCATGCTTCGCATAAAGATAGAGAGAACTTCCAGAAAAAAAGGAGACTCGCGCTTTGGCATAAGAGTTTTGGAAAATAAGATGTTTACTTGGATTGGATTTGCTCAGATATGTGCCGGGGCAGGCGGCTATGCGAATTTTAAGCAAGCGGGCACCGGAAAAATAGTTTGCTGATTTCTTCCGGTCCGCTTGCAGAAATCTGGAATAATTTTGGCCAATTTTTGGAAGAACGCTCGGAGAACTATCGCGGTCTTCGTGGATAAGTTGTGGCACAGTAGCCGCATTCTCGCGATCTTTCCGCGAGAATGTGCAAAATTGTTGGGGCCGCACGGTCCTTTGTGAAGGACCGCACTGCCCAGGGTGCCTTCCGTTGGAAGAAGGTACCCCAAGCTTGGCTAATCAAACCATCGATGACACCTCTGCTACATAGAGTCTCACCTTTTCTCGGCGTACGCCCGAAACTGCGTAAAAAGAGTCCGAGCGCTTGCTGAAAGTTTGGCCAGCACTCGCTGAAAGAAATTATTTGCCAAGCGCTTGCAAAAAATGCTGTATTGCTGCCCTCTGGCAGAATATGCGACCGTAAAGAAAGTGCCGTTCGCTGAAGGTTTGGCCACGCCTCAAAATTCTGCTGACCGCTTGCAGAAAAGCGCGAGCTTGCGGACCGCCTGCCCCGGCGATTATCTGAGTGCTTGCGGGGAAGTTCGAACGGTTCTATCCTTGTGTCCGCGGCCCAAAATTTCAAAGTCGTGAATTTGGCTGAGATTTGGTCGACGGGGATCACAAATATTACATTCTTTTTTCACAAAAACGTCATTTGGTGGGGCAACGGTGGGTATAAGTAGAAGAGTCAATTTAGTTTTGGCTGAAATTTGGTCTGGGGGTTATCTGAGGTGCCAATCACGAATACCATATTCTTTCTGCATTCTGCGGAGGGCTTAGTCTTCCATAACCTTTCGAACCAACGTACGCCGGACCCTGCGGTTTTGGCACGAAAGATGAGGGGGACGCTGTGAGCACACTGACTAGAAGTACATTGAAGGAGGAGGTGTGACTTTTTTCAGTAAGCTTTTGAAAAA